AGTATCATGGTTGCTAGGCAACCTGAACAGCGCGACGAAGCATATACCGTCCCATTTCACAAGCCTCTCACTTCCGCACTTCTCGTACTTATAGTACGCGCCGTATGTAGTACGCGTAGTGCGCGTACTTCAAGCGTGCAGACCCTGAAATGGGACACAGCCACTGACTGGACACGGGGATATAGCAAACAGGGGAGACAGCAACTAAGGATTACACAGAGACAAACCATAAGACATAACTCTAACAAAGAAACCAAAGAATAGAAATGATAAATAATATAATAAACTCAAAAACCCTGTGTCAACGACCCAGGCATCCTAACAGTTCGTGTGTAAATCAAAGCATACTGTAAAAGGCGTTCTACTTCTATCATGTTTTTGTGCTCATTCTTGAACACTGTGACAATCGGTCCAAACCCCAACTTGTATCTTAGCTGCTCTGTTACTACGGCTCTGCTTGTTACTGTACAGGCACAAAGACTAAATATGAATTAACACGAGGAGGTTGTTAATCATAAATTCCTGTAGACTAGTTGTAGACAGTTATATATTTGTGTAACTTTTCTTGCTCGTGTAACAATAGTAATGTTACATGAGCCTGAACTATTAATGTATTCTATCACTGCTAATGTTGCTGGGGCAATTAAGATGGTCCTCTCCAGCAGGGGGAGCTATGTGTCTGTTAACTAAGTGGAGGGCTGTTCTCACCTGCATAAACTGCATGTTGTGTATACCTGGACAAGTTGTTTCATGTGCTCTCGAGTCATAAAAGTTAACACTAACTGTTGAAAGAATTTGCCCGGAGCGGAGAAATTTGCCTTTTACTTCCTAAATGTTTTTCTTGGGTCACAAATGAGGTTTTTTCTCCGACTGCTGACAGTGTGAGCTGCATTGCAAATATTTCAGAACCTTTTGATCACTTTGATGGGAGACGTTTTTTCCCCCCTCACTGAATACTTACACACTGTCTTCTGTCCTTCTCTTATAATCTTTTCTCAAAATTGAGCTGCCCTATATTCATGGAATCTGATGTGCCGCTCACATTTTGGGACGAGAAAAACAAATGAAGTGGAATTATCCTTTCTGTAAGATTGAGGCTCATCTTTAATCATCTACTACTGCAGTAATATCGCACGTCACAAACGCACAAATTCACACACATTAGTCCTTTTTGTCTCCTCTTGCTCTTACGTCTTTCCCCCCACTGCTCCACTGTGACATTTTAATTTAAGCTTTTTCTTTGGCTTCTGCTGCAGTGAAAGGAAAAGAAAGTAGGATAAAGATTAAAGAATATTCTTGAAATATTATAAAACTCTAAGAGCTGCAGTGCAATCGTGTTAGAAAATATTTAAGTCAGTGGTGAATGTTTATGAAGGAAGAAATGAAAGGATTCACTGTATTTAAAGGACGGTTTGCCAACTTTTAGCACATCTTCAAAAGAAATGTGTATATATTACAATTATGAAGCTGCAGGGAAAATCAGTGTGTGTGTGTGTGTGTGTGTGTGTGTGTGTGTGTTTGGTTGTCCGTGTGTGTGAGCTGGCACATGGCTCACCATTTCCACAAACTCTTGGCTGGGAAGCTGTACTGCTCATAAATTACCAAAAATATCAACCCAGCAAATCCCCCCAGCCTGCTACCAGATACTGCTGTGTGTGTGTTTGTGTGTGTAAGGTCTTCTTCTTCCCACATGCACTCTTTGTTCTGTCCTGCAGGGTGTCTGGCGGCGAGCTGTTCGACCGAATCGTGGAAAAAGGATTCTACACGGAGAAAGACGCAAGCACGCTGATCCGGCAAGTCCTGGACGCCGTTAACTACCTGCACAGGATGGGAATCGTGCACCGAGACCTGAAGGTAACACACTCAAACACACACACACACATTCCCTGCTTCTTCACTGAAGTCTTACCCCACATACACACAAACACTCACTCTCCCATTCCACACTTTAAATCCACACAAGTGCTTCATTCTCACTTGACAGCCCGTGATTTACTGCTGCAATAAGGGCAGCAGCTCGACACATGCAGTGCATTGTGGGTGAGTGTAGTGTGTGTCAGCTGTTTGAAGCAATGGATTGGTCAGAGTGACCTCCATTAACCAGGACTGTGTAAAATGAGCAATAAGGTTGTCTGTCTATTAACTGCCTGAGACATTAAACAAAGTGACAGTGTTTGTAATCCAAAATTCTTTCTTTCTTCCTTCCTTCCTTCCTTCTTTCCTTCCTTCAGCCAGAGAACCTGTTGTATTTTAATCCTCAAGACGAGTCCAAGATTATGATCAGTGACTTTGGTCTTTCAAAGATGGAGGGCAGCGGTGACGTCATGTCAACTGCCTGTGGCACGCCAGGATATGTGGGTAAGCCGGTCGCACCGTCACCGCCTGTCCTCAACGTTCCTATTTCTTTCCTCTTAAAATCACAGTTTATCCCCTCTGTTAGTGCTGTAACTGTTTTTGGTCGTTAGAAGACATACAAGAAAATAACCAGTGTTAGCTAACATTAGCCAGAACCAAACAAAGGGACTTTTATTTGTTTTTGGAGATAAAAAAAACCTATTGTGGTTTCATCTGACAACTGTGAGCTAACACTAGCTTACCTGTTTACACAGATAAATTGCAACTTGTCTAAAGTCGCAAAATGCCGTAACGAGAGATGAAGGTCCAGTTCATCCAGACCTTCAAATCACTTCTGGCATTACACACTAACGACTGCACACAAAAAAAGAGAGTTTTTCACGAAAAAAACCCCAAACTATTCACACCCCATGATTCAGTGGCTTGTGGAAGCATCTTTAGCAGCAATAACTTGAAGTAATTGTCTTTTGTATGACTTTTATCTGTCTCTCACATAATTGTGGAGGGATTTAGGTCCTATTTTCTTTATAAAGTTGCTTCATTTCAGTGAAGTTTATAGGCATTCATTTATGCTTGGCTCTATTAAGGTCCCATCACAGCATTTCAGTCAGGTTGAGGTCTGGACTTTTAGCCACTGCTACACCTTGATTCTGTTCTTTTTCAGCCATTCTGTTGCTTCTGTGCTTGGGATCATCATGACTTCATTTTTCTTGGACAGATGGCCTCACATTTGACTCATGAATCCTTTGATAAACAGAGTAGTTTATGGTCGACACAATAGCTGCAAGGCGTCAAGGTCCTGTGGCTGCCAAACAAGCCCAAATCATTACTCATCCACCACCCTGCTTGAGAGTTGGTATGACGCGTTCGTGCCATATTTGGTTTTCTCTCAACCTGGCAACGTGTCATGTTCAAAGATCCTCACTTTGGTGTGGACATTGTTCCACAGTCTGGTTTGTTCAAATGGAGCCTTACATACCGAACATGTGCTGCCATTTTTCAAGAGAAGAGGCTGTTTCCTGACAAGTCATTCTTGTTCATTCGTTTTCTAAATGCCCTGTTAGGCCTGTAGAGTCTAAGCTGTAGCTCTTTGGGTTCGTTCGACCCTCTCCGAGCATTACAAAGTTTGACCTAGTTCGACTAGTTTGACTTAGCGGTTTCTGTGATGATTCCTGTGAGCCAACAAACACGTGTTAAATTAAATGAGCACATGTTGTTCCCATCTGACGCCGTTTACACTTCCTGCATCATCTCTTTTCTTCCCATGTCATCTGGAGCGACGCGTGTTTGTGCTCTTCACACACCCCAGTCATGCTTATCACTCTGAGACAGACAGTCGTGCTCTGTATCATATTATATCTCCTTTTTGTGTGAATCTCTGTGTGCAGTGTGCTTAATCTGCTTGCGTGTGAGCATTTCTTTGATTGCATGCTACAGGAGACAGACGTTCGGCGACACACATTTGCATGTTGCAAAAGTCGTATAAGTCGCACAAACAGATCATTTCCCACTATTCACACAGAAAGGTGCATAAATGTTGAATCGTTTTTGTTGCAGGGCAGCTTTACTAAATCCAGATGTGTGTCAGGTTCTCAGTCGTCCGTGTCATGGTGGACTAAAGTGCTTGAGTCGAAGCCACTCGCAGAACTGGAGTGGCCTTTTACATGAGTTGGGAAATATCTTCAAGAACCTGAAAGAACTCCAGCTGTCTTTGGCTCAAGCGCTTCAAAGCACCCAGCTGTTCTTCAGGTTTTTTTTGGGTACTATCTTTAAAGAGTCAGTTCACATTCTCACCCAGTCAGCAAAAAATTTGCATAATTTTACTTTGAATGGTCAGAACTTTGCATCAATTCCTCTCATCCGTGAGAGGAACTCCTGCAGTTTTTCCACTCAAGGTGCTTTGTGTGAAAATACAATCAAAGAAGGTGACAATTTACAACTGCGTCTGAATGAAAGACTCAGTTCTTGCTGTTATTTTTTCATTTTCTCATTATGATAACTTTCAACTGTCAAATTTGCTTCTTCCAGCAAAAAGAAAAGTCACGCTTGGAAATAGGACATAGCCAAAGACCCACTACGGGGTTAATTAAGTGATTTACTATTAAGAAATTACACATTATGATTGTACCCTGATACCGACTCTGGACTTAGTGAGCTGCAGACACGGTGATCTCAGTGGGTAAAAATGCTCCAGTTCTGCATCCAGAAAACCCAGAACAGACACACACAATGAGTCAGATTAGACTAAAATGTAAGCACTCAGATTCAACACAAGTGTGCAAAGTTTATATTTTGACTCAGATATGACTGGTGTTCCTTCTGTGTGTATGTGTGTGAGCATGCCAAATCTATTTCGAGAGCCTTGTGTGTATATGTGAGGTGATATTACGGCGACCTCACTGTCATCAGTAATTTGCTCTGTCCAAGGTCTTCGGTAATGAGCTGCAGAGAAAGGTTGGGCCTGGAAAGCATCCCTTACCGACACCAGCAGCAGAGAAAATGGGTCTGAAGCTAACTAGAAGAGCTAGTTGGAGCTAGTTGCACCATGTATTTCTGCACCTATGAGAATCTGTACCTCCTGCAGAATATTTCCCACCGTGCAGCGAACTGGCATGTGATTTTAATTTCAACAGACATGAGGTGTCTGCATATTTTCTCTGTACTCAGTCTCATTAAACAGCCCCTTTTTCATATAAAAATCACACCGCAGTTGTTACTGGACCTCAAGCTGTAAAGTAAAAACACACTGTGGTTAGGTTTACCACCAAACTGAGGTCGTTTCAAAGCCGGTTTTCTCTCTAACCCCACTGTGTCTGCTTGTTTCTCTCTCTCTCTATCAGCTCCAGAGGTTCTCGCCCAGAAGCCGTATAGTAAAGCGGTCGACTGCTGGTCCATTGGAGTGATCGCCTACATCTTGTAAGTACCAATTAAACTTCTTTATATTCCACTGTACAGGAAGCAGTTTCCATCAATCACCATGACTGACATCACCAGAAAGCACATAAGCTCCATTAGCACCAGGTCATGGTCACGGTGGGAAATCTGAATTCTTGATGCCTTATTTATCGTTAAGGTTGTGATAACCAGAGATGGGCCGCGTTACTGTAATCCGATTACTTTTTCAAGTAACGAGTAAAGTAAGGGATTACTATTGCAAAAACGGTAATTAGATTACCGTTACTTTCCCGTAGGAACGCTGCGTTACTGCGTTACTAAAACCGTGATTTTTTTTGCGAGAGTGTCTCATGACAGTGACGTAAGCGAGTGCGACGTTCGTGACAACAGCTGTGTGCAGATCAACGATGGATAATATATCGAGTGCAGAGAGAGTATGAGCGTGCAGCGTTTAAAGCGTGGAAGTACTGACCTTACTTTGAGTTTGATTCCATAAAAAGTGACAAAAACATTAGTGTCCGTTGTGCGTGGGAAGAAAACTTCTTTTTACAGCGAAAAAAACCCCTAAACTTCCAAGCAAGCACCGAGTAGCTACGATGTAATGAGAAACTCACAGAGAAACTCGTGGATTCTTCAACTGAATCTGCACACCTGCACCAGGGTAAACCTCCGCCTGCCTCACTCCTGCTTTACAGGTGAAAATAGAGCAAAAGGACCGCTAGTCTATGACTTTATTTATTTTCTGCTGTGTTTTACTTGCATCTATTTGAAAGAGTGAGTGTAAACACACACACAAAAAAATATATATTTTATGTGCTGGAATGTGCAGAAAATAGGTTTAAATGTTAAACAAATTTCTTCCAGTCAGAGAATGTTGCATATAATTAACGGGATTACTTTTTGGGGGAAGTAATCAGTAATTAGTTACTGATTACTTTTTCAAGTAACTTGACCAACACTGATAACCGTGTTCATTGCCAGAAATGCGGCCAAGTCAATCAGCTAAATACATTCACAGGTTTGCGTTGCATTGAGTCACATGACTGCTAACCATTAGCTTGTCCATCCGTTGTATACACGTAACGCTGTAGGGTGAATTCATTTTTTTTTTATGAAAAAAAACTTGCAGATGAAACTATGAACCAGTTAGGAAATTGTTAACTAAAGTCATAAAACCAGTAAGAAGTAGGGTCGTTTTCTCATAGATTTCTATACAATGAGACCAGAGAAGTTGTCGCCCCTAGAGGCCATGCAGGCTTTGAAATAACTGAAATAACACGCGTCTAGACACAGGTATGAAGCAGTTTTAGGTTATTGTAATAGTGTTTAATTAGTGTGTTATTTACACCTTTGGTTTTCCTCCTGTGACATATTTTTACCAAATCTTCCATCAAACATATCAAATCTCTGTGTAGCTATTAAAGTCATTTTACAAGTTCCCTTGGATGTAATCTTTGTAATTAAATAGAATGAAGGTCTTTATAACAGCACAACAAAACAGCCATTTTCATACTAGTAGTTTTCTAATCATCAGCTGGGCTATGGAGACCTGGCTCGGCCATGTATGAATCACAAAATTGAAAACACCTTAACTGGAAAATCTGTTTATAAACATGCATTCCATTCACATCACATTCAGGCTCATTAAACGGATCTCCATCTAGCCTTTGTCGCCCTTCTCATTCACGTAGTCATGAGTAACTGCTCTGCAGTGAATACAAAAGCCAGGCAGTGACTCACTGTACCTTAGCCCCTGCACACACACAAAACCACTGTGTCAGTTGTAATGTTTTCCGACTACAAACACACAACCCTGGCTAGTTTGTGAATGTTTGTCATGTACTATCAGCTGCTCCCACACACTGGAGATCTGCTGCATGGCCTTGTAAGGACTTGAGGCTTTGGACGAGATTTCATTTTCATTTTCTTGTTTTTCACCAGTGTTGGTGAACAATGGAAACCATGTTTGTGTGCTCAGACTGCAATCTTGTTGTTGAGAACGCCACTGTTGGAGTTATTTTAAGGTGTATGTTGCCTCTGCATCTTCATTTATGTTTAACACCTGAGGAGCGATCAGAGAGCTCACAGTGGTTGAGAGGAAAGCAGGCGCAAACAAACTCACGTGACTCTCTCACGCTGACTTTCTCCCGTTTTACGCTGTACGTTGTGGTGGGTATGACAGCACAGTAGAAATGACTGTGCGTGTGTATGTCCGTGTGTTGCTGTGTGCGTGCAGGGTAAAAGAAAGAGCAACTCCCTGCTGGCAATTAGCACAATTAGCGTTGGGATTCAGACCTTGTTAGGTTTTAACTGCTGCTCAGGTGGAAAGATCACATCAGGTAATCAACCATGATAATCAGCCAGGATCCCGAGTGCAAGTGTATTTGTGTGTGTGTGTGTGTGTGTGTGTGTGTGTTCGATGGAGTGGAGGGTCAGCCGAGTAACATGACGAGTGAGTCTTTAAGCAAATGAGAAAGCAAAAAAAACAAAGCAGAAAGCCCTTTTCCCCTCACGGCAGGCAGAGTCCTCCTTCCTCTCTGCCCGGTGCGTTTCCCTTTCATTCTTTCTTTCCGGTGTGTATTGATGGAGAACGGCATTTTAATGAGTTTTTATGAAAATCTCCTGGTGCATCCAGAACCTCGGTAATGAGGTGTTTTGGGCTGAGCGGCAGCTCTGCTGTTGCTCCGCTTTGTGTCGTTATGGAAAATCAAACTTGGACTTAAGTTCATTTGTGCTCATCAGCACCAAGAACCAGTAATCTCATGTTAATGCGATTAAGGCGATACAGCCAACTACCACTGCTACTACGCAGTCACAGTAATACACTGCTCTGAGTTCAAGTTCAGATGTGACAACAATACTGCGACACCACCTACTATTAATTCAAGTTTGCAAGTTTAGCAGAGTAACTGGAGTACTTATATCTTGACTACAAATTGTTCTTTGTTACCAGTGTTAAAGCGACCACTGCAAGCCACAACCTGCCTTCACAGATGCATTCTGAAGTGCGGACATTCCTCCTTTTAGATAGTACCTCGGATTTCCTACAGCCAGACTCATAGTCATGACAGTCAGCAATAATCTTTTACTAAGTTTTATAGGATGTATATTTGCTATCTTCACCACATATTTGATCCACACAAATCAGGGATGCATCACCATGACAAACAGAAAAACAGAGCTTTAAAAGAATTGAAGCGATTTAGCCTACACTATGATCTTTTTCTAAACCTAACCCAGCACTTCACAAAGTTGTTTTTAGCACCAAAGCCTAAACAGGAATTTCGTTTCGATCTGATAATGTATTTCAAAAAGTGTGGTACACAACTGAGGCAAGCTATCTTGTCATTTATAAAGCAGCCTTCGGGAATAGTTCTCCAGGCTTCCTGAAGGACATTCAAAGCTCTTCTTTGGATGTTTTCTGCCTTCTGTTCTGTTCTCTGTCGAGACGATCCCTCACTGCTTCAGTAATGTTGAGATCTGGGCTCTGGTAGGCCGCTGTGTGTTTTTCTCTCCAGGTCTGCATTGGCAGTGGGTTTGGGATCATTGTCATACTAAACAATGAAGCCACTGCCAATCAGACTCTGACTTTTCTGTGTTCATAATTTCATCAGTTGTCACAACAACACTGGCTGAAATCCTCCCCGGAACCACGACAGAACCGTGTTTGCAGATGTCAGTAGACACTCACTGTTGTACATATTGATGATGATTTGAACTTAAAATTTCAAACTCCTATTCATCAGTCCATAAGATCTGTTACCACAGATTTTTAGTCTAGTCTTGTGTAATTTGGTATACCAAAACCTGGCTATCAAAGGCTTTTTTATAGCACCCTTCCACTGAGATTATTTCTGAAGAATCTTCTGTGAACAGCAGATGATCACCTGCTGTGGCTAGTTTTTTTAAGCCTGCCACATCTTCTTTTGTCCCCCACTTTTTCAGTTCCCTTGGATTTTTTTTTATACCTGCCGTTGTCTTTGGTATTCTTCATAGGTTCATCTGGGAACAAGTGATGTGTTTGTGCAGCAGGCTGCTAGTAACAAAATGCATAAAGATACAATTTAAAATGGGCTCTTTGCCAGTTTGTTGTCTGTGTAGAAACAACACTGGTTCATCCCTTGGGTTATGTGCTTTATTATGCTTCAGTGATTCAGAGGTCAGCATTAAGTGACTTAACAAAAAAAAAGAATCCTCTGAAAATCATTGGATACAACAACTGAACTGAAAATGGGTGAAAAAACAGCCAGTGTAGAAAGGAAAGTTTTGATTTTTTTAAATTACAAGAAAGTCTGGTTTCTTGGAAGCAAAATACAGAAAAATGAAGGGTGGGTGGATTTTAAGTCAAATTGTGGTCTCTGCCATGAGTAGCAAAATCCTTACAGTCTGTAAATCTCTAAATAAGGAGTTTTTTACCTTTTAAAAATTAAATATATTCATTTCATATTCAGGGATCGTGAAAAGAGAAAAAGAAAACCTGTCAAATTCATGTCTAGAAACACAAATCTGCCTGTGGCACTACACTGTTGCCTACATGTGAGGCATTTAGGGGACATATGTAAATTGTAGCTACAAAGATTAATCTGGGTTACAGTATTCCCTTACAGACACAGATCTAGTCTGTCTCTTACATACACATGTGTTTGCATTTAACACTATGGCTACGTTCACACTGCAGGTCTT